CTCATATCCACATCCCGGGATTTCCATCCCCAAAGCTCTGGGAATAAAAGGGAGGAGCTGGGATTGCCATCCCAGAGCTCCCAGTTGATATTCCACGTTCCTGGAACGCATTCCCAGAAAATTCTCTGAACCTCATCCTGGGATTTCCTTAACTTCTTCCAAAGGGATAAAATTCCATCCCCAAACCCCTGGGAATAAAAGGGAGGATCTGGAATTGCCATCCCAGAATTGCCAGAGTTGATATCCCGAGCACCTGGAATGGATTCCCAGAAAATTCCCTGAACCAGATCCCAGATTTCCACAGCATTTCCCAGAATTCCATTCCCAAACCCCGGGAATAAAAGGAAGGAGCCGGAATTCCCAACTCATGGATGAGACACTGGGAATGAACCAGAATTGCCATCCCAGAATTGCCAGAGTTGATGTCCCGAGCACCTGGAATGGATTCCCAGAAAATTCCCTGAACCAGATCCCAGATTTCCGCATTGTTTTCCAAAAGGAAAAACCCAGGAATTCTGCTTCATTATGGATTTGGGAATCACAGCTTCCCACAGATTGGCCGGGTCCAGCATTCCCGTTGATATTCCAGCACCTGGAATGCATTCCCAGAAAATTTTCGTATCCAGATCCCAGATTTCCACAGCATTTCCCAGAATTCCATTCCCAAGCCCCTGGGAATAAAAGGAAGGAGCCGGAATTCCCAACTCATGGATGAGGCACCAGGAATGACCTGGAATTGCCATCCCAGAATTGCCAGAGTTGATATCCCGAGCACCTGGAATGCATTCCCAGAAAATTCCCTGAACCAGATCCCAGATTTCCAAAGCATTTCCCAGCATTTCATTCCCAAAGCCAAGGGAATAAAAGGATGGAAGTTGGAATTCCCACGTGATGGATGGGAATGACCTGGAATTCCCATCCCAGAATTCCCAGAGTTTCAAATCCCAGCACCTGGAGTGGATTCCCAGGAAATTGTCTTATCCACATCCCAGAGTTCCACAGCGTTTTCCATAATTCCCAAACCCCTGGGAATAAAAGGATGGAAGCTGGAATTCCCAACTCATGGCTGAGATACTGGGAATGACCCAGAATTCCCATCCCAGAATTCCCAGAGTTCATACTCCCAGCACATGGGGTGCATTCCCAAAAAATCCCCTGAACCAGATCCTGGAGTTTCCATTCCCAAAGCTCTTGGAATAAAAGGAAGGAACTGGAATTGTCATCTCAAAATCCCTGGATTTGATATTCCAGCACCTGGAATGGATTCCCAGAAAATCCTCATATCCACATCCCGGGATTTCCATTCCCAAAGCTCTGGGAATCAAAGGAAGGAGCTGGGATTCCCATCCCAGAGCTCCCAGTTGATATTCCAAGTTCCTGGAACGCATTCCCAGAAAATTCTCTGAATCTCGTCCTGGGATTTCCTTAACTTCTTCCAAAAGGACAAAATTCCATCCCCAAAGCTCTGGGAATAAAAGGGAGGAGCTGGAATTCCCAACTCATGGATGAGACACCAGGAATTCCCTGGAATTCTCATCCCAGAATTCCTGGAGTTTATACTCTGAGCTCATGGGATGCATTCCCAAAAAATTCTCTCATCCAGATCCCAGATTTCCACAAAACTCCATTCCCATTCCCCTTTATTGTGGGAATACAAGAATAGAACAGGAATTCCCAACTCATGGACAAAGCACGAGGAATGACTTGGAATTGCCATCCCAGAATTCCCAGTTGATATTCCAAGCACCTGGAATGCATTCCCAGAAAATTCTCTGAATCACATCCCATGATTTCCATTCCCAAACCTTTAGGAATAAAAGGAAGGAGCTGAAATTTTCATCCCAAAATTCCCAGATACGATATTCCAGCACCTGGAATGGATTCCCAGAAAATCCTCTTACTCAAATCCTGGAATTTCCATCCCCAAAGCTCTGGGAATAAAAGGGAGGAGCTGGAATCCCCAACTGATGGATGAGACACCGGGAATTCCCTGGAATTCCCATCCCAGAATTCCTGGAGTTTATACTCTGAGCTCATGGGAGGCATTCCCAGAAAATTCTCTCATCCAGATCCCAGATTTCCACAAAACTCCACTTCCCATTCCCCTTTATTGTGGGAATGAAAGGATGGAACTGGAATTCCCAACTCATGGACGAGGCACAGGGAATGACCCAGAATTCCCATCCCAGAATTCCCAGAGTTTATGGGATGCACTCCCAAAAAAACCGCAAAACCGGATCCGGGAGTTTCCATTCCCAAAGCTCTGGGAATAAAAGGAAGGAGCTGAAATTTTCATCCCAAAATTCCCAGATTTGATATTCCAGCACTTGGAATGGATTCCCAGAAAAATCCTCTTATCCACATCCCAAACTCCCACAGTGTTTTCCAAAAGGAAAAATTCCGGAATTCCGCTTTGTCGTGGATTTGGGAATTCCAGGTCCCCACAGATTGGCCAGGCCCAGCATTCCCAAACCTCTGGAATTCGGGATTTCCCAACATTTGAGCCCTTTTGCTTCCACAGGGAATTTTTGTAACCAAATCCCAAAATCCCAGGAATTCCTTGAGTTCTCCCAGGTTTTATCCTGATTTTTTTGGAAACCGGGAAATTTGGGAAATGAGGGAAAATAAAGGAGGAGAGAGCGGGAGAGGAACAAGGAAAATCTTGGATACAGGAGCCTCATTCCCAAAATAAAAAAATTTAAGGAAGAATTCCATAAAATCTTGGAGCTCCAGCCTGGAATTCCAGAGGAAATTCGGGAAGCGGGAATTCTCGCTGCTGCCACCGCGTGGCTCTTCCCAAATCCCGAAATCCCGAGGGAAAATTCCCCCAAATCCAAAGATTCCGAATTCCTGGAATATTCCCAGGCTGATCCAGGATTAAACCTTGGAGCTGCTGGAATTTCCCTTCCCCATGGGAATGGTTTGATCCTGGAATTCTTTCAGATTCCCAAAAAATGTTGGGATACTCCCGGATCCCTTTTTGTGCTGCCTGAAATCCCAAAATCTCGGAAATTCCGAAATCGAAGGAGATTTGTGGGATTTTGGGATGGAATTCCAGGAAAAACTGGAATATCCCATGGGATCCCACAGGAGCTGTTGCTGCCCATGGAATGGGATGAGTTTTAAATCCCAGAAAATTCAGGAATTCCACAAAAAATCCAAGCGCAGGAACACATCCCTGAAATCCCAGAATTCCAAACCTCCGGCTTGGCTTGAATCCCAGGGGTTTGGGGTTGGTTTTTTTTAAGGAAAATAAAATCAAGAATTTCACTCACGCAAGCAACAGGGATTGGGGAAAAATGGAAAAATTCCTAAAAAAAACTGAGGGAAAAAATGGGGAGAAAAATAGGGGGGAAAAAACTTGAAAAAAAAACCTGGAAAAAAACAACTGGAAAAAAAACTGGAGGGGGAAGGGGAAAAAAAGCAGAGAAATCCCCCCAAACTGGGAAAAAAGAACTGGGAAAAAAAAACCGGGGAGGAGGAAAAAGTGGAGGGAAAAGAAAACAGAGGGAAAAACCTGAAAAAAAGCCGGGGAGAAAAAAAATTGCAAAAAAATAGGGGGAAAAAACGGGGGGGGAGGGGGGAGGAAATGAGTGGGGGAGGGTAAAAGACAGGGGGGGGAAACCTGAAAAAAAGCTGGGAGAAAAAAAACTAGGAAATAAAAACCTGGAGAAAAAAAGCCTGGAAAAAATTACTAGGGAAAAAAAAACACTGGAGGGGGAAAAAAAGAAAAGCCCAAAACAAAATTTAAAAAAAAAAAACCACCAAAAATATTTCAAAAACCACGAAGAAACTCCCCCAAAAACAGAAAAAAACACAAAACCCCCCACACCTGGAAAAATCCTGGGAAAAAAAACAACCTGGAAAGAAAAAAGCCCAAACAAAACCTGGGGGGAAAAAAACTGGAAAAAAATCCCTGGAAAAACCTGGGAAAAATCTGCAATTAAAAATAAAAAAAAGTTTAAAAAATGGGGGGAAAAAACTGGAAAAAAAACCTGGGGAAAATCTAAAAATCAGCTGGGGGAAAAAAAAAAAACTAAAAAAAAAACCCTGGGGGAAGAAAAAACCTGGGGGAAAAAGAAAACTGGAAAAACACCCTGGAAAAATCTGGGAAAAATCTGCAACAAAAAAAAAAAAAAAAAAAAAAAAAAAAAAAAAAAACCAAAACAAAGAGAAACCTGGGGGAAAAAAAAATGGGAAAAAGAAAACTGGAAAAAACCCTGACAAGAAAAAAGCCTGGAAAAAACCTGGGGGGAAAAAAAAAAAAAAAAAAAACAAAAAAAACCCAAAAAACTGGGAAAAAATCTGAAAAAAAAAATCTAGAAAACACCTGGGGAAAAATACTGGGAAAAGAGAAAACTGGGGAAAAAAAAAAAACCATTAAAAAAATCCCGAAATGGCGCGGAGCAGCAGGAATTGCAGGGCAGGAATGGCAGGGCAGGAATGGCAGGGCAGGAATTGCAGGGCAGGAATTGCAGGGCGGGAATGGCAGGGCAGGAATTGCAGGGCAGGAATTGCAGGGCAGGAATTGCAGGGCAGGAATTGCAGGGCGGGAATGGCAGGGCAGGAATGGCAGGGCAGGAATGGCAGGGCGGGAATGGCAGGGCAGGAATTGCAGGGCAGGAATTGCAGGGCGGAATTGCAGGGCGGGAATTGCAGGGCAGGAATTGCAGGGCGGAATTGCAGGGCAGGAATGGCAGGGCAGGAATTGCAGGGCAGGAATTGCAGGGCAGGAATTGCAGGGCAGGAATTGCAGGGTGGGAATTGCAGGGCAGGAATTGCAGGGCGGGAATGGCAGGGCGGGAATTGCAGGGCAGGAATTCAGGAATTCCTCCCGGGGCTCCCGACCCCCCCTCCCGGGGCTCCGTCACCGACACCGCCTCATTCATTTCATTAATTAATGAGCGGCCCCGGCGCTGCTCCGCTCGCAGGCGCCGCTGGAAAAGCCGGGCCGGGACTTTCCCGAGATCCCAAAAAATTCCAGGCTGGGAAAAGAGAAAATGGCGTGGGAGCCAAACTGGGAATTTTTGGGATTTTCCTGCCTCGTCCTGCTCCGATCCCGACTTTCCCTGGCGCAGCTGATCGAGGTGAGCAATGAAATCCCATTGGAAAAAAGAAAAAAGTGGGAATGAGGGCCGGGAATGGGGGATTTCCCTGGAAAACATCCGGCTGGGAATTTAAGGTGGATCCAAGGAGGGGTTTTTTGGGAATTTTTGGCGTTTCCTCGAAGGCTGGGTTGGGAATTTCGGGTCGGGATCGCGGGTTTTTCCCATTTTTTAATCGGTTGAGGAGCGAGGCAAAAACGATCCCAAAATTCCTGTTCCTGATGGATGATCCCGTTAAAAATGTGGGAAATTTTGGAAATATTTGGGATGGGTTTTCCTTCTCCCGCCTTCCCTCATTCCCGGTAATCCTGAAAAATCTAGATTTCACGGAATTGTGGGATTTCATGGAATTCCATGGAATTCCTGCCCCTCCACAGGAGCTTTTCCCTGAGGATGACTCTGCATTCCCAAATTTATGGAAAATCTGGGAATGATCCAGGAGGGAAAAGCGGCTCCCCAGCCCTGGCTGCAATTCCAGAGGGAAATTCCAGCCTGGAATCCAAATCCCAGCTCCCAAAACTTTCACTTTTCCCTCCGGATCCTTTCCCTGCTCCACCTGGGAATTCCTGCAGCAGGATTTGGCTGCGATTTCTGGGATTAGAAAATTCCAGGAATTTCCCAGGATTTCAAACTTCTCATCTTTTCCATATATTTTTCCAGGATTTCTGGCCTCTCATCCCTGCCCTTATCCAGATTTTTTTTTTCCCAAAGATTTCCAGCCTCTCATCCATTTTCCTGATTTTTCCCAGGATTTCCGGCCTCTTCTCCATCCCTTTCCATATTTTTTCCAGGATTTCAAACCTCTCATCCTTTCCCAGATTTTTCCCAGCATTTCCAGCCCCTCATCCTTTCCCTTATCCTGTTTTTTTTCCAGGATTTCCCTTTCCATATTTTTCCCAGGGTTTCCAGCCTCTCCTCCCTCCCTTTCCCATATTTTTCCCAGGAATTCAAACCTCCCCTCCCTGCCCTTATCCTGATTTTTCCCAGGATTTCCTTTCCATATTTTTCCAGAATTTCAAACTTCTCATCCCCATCCTTTTCCATATTTTTCCTCCCAGCATTTCCAGCCTCTTCTCCCTCCTTTCCCATTTTTTTTCCAGGATTTCCCTTTCCTGATTTTCCCCAGAATTTCCAGCCTCTCCTCCCTCCCTTTCCCATATTTTCCCCAGGATTTCTGGCCTCTCCTCCCTGCCCTTATCCTGATTTTATTCCAGGATTTCTTTTCCATATTTTTCCCAGAATTTCCAGCCTCTCATCTCTCCCTTTCCACATTTTTTCCAGGATTTCAAACCTCTTATCCCTTTCCCAGATTTTTCCCAGCATTTCCAGTCTCTCATCCTTTCCCTTATCCTGATTTTTTCCAGGATTCCCTTTCCATATTCCCTCCAAAATTTCAAACTTCTCATTCCTGTCCTTTTTCATATTTTTCCCAGCATTTCCAGCCTCTTCTCCCTCCTTTCCCATTTTTTTTCCAGGATTTCCCTTTCCTGATTTTTCCCGGGATTTCCGGCCTCTTCTCCCATCCCCTTTCAGTTTTTTTCCCAGAATTTCAAACCTCTCATCCCTTTCCCAGATTTTTCCCAGCATTTCCACTCTCTCATCCTTTCCCTTATCCTGTTTTTTTCCAGGATTTTCCTTTCCATATTTTCCCCAGGATTTCCAGCCTCTTCTCCCTCTTTCCCCATTTTTTCCCAAGATTTCCCTTTCCATATTTTTTTCTCCAGGATTTTCAGCCTCTCCTCCCTCCCTTTCCCATATTTTTTTCCCCAGGATTTCTGACCTCCCCTCCCTGCCTTTATCCTGATTTTTTCCAGGATTTCCTTCCCATATTTTTCCCCAGGATTTCTGGCATCTCCTCCCTGCTCTTTTCCTGATTTTTTTCCAGGATTTCCCTTTCAATATTTTTTTCCAGGATTTCCATTCTCTCATCTCTCCCTTTCCATATTTTTCCCCAAGACTTTTGGCCTCTCCTCCCTCCCTTTCCCATATTTTTTTCCCCAGGATTTCTGACCTCCCCTCCCTGCCCTTATCCTGATTTTATTCCAGGATTTCTTCTCCATATTTTTTCCAGGATTTCTGGCCTCTCATCCTTTCTCTTATCCTGTTTTTTTTTTTTTTTTTTTTTTTCCAGGATGTCCCTTTCCATTTTTTTCCCCAGGATTTTTGGCCTCTTCTCCCTCTTTTCCCAATTTTTTCCCAGGATTTCCATCCTCTCATCTCTCCCTTTCCATACTTTTTTCCCCCGGGATTTTGGGCCTCTTCTCCTTCCCTTTCCCACTTCTTTCCAGGATTTCAAACCTCTCATCCTTTCCCTGATTTTTCCCAGGATTTTCGGCCTCTCATTCCCAACCCAATCCCTGCTTTTCCCCCATCCCCTCCTACCTGAGCATTCCATAAATCCAGGAATCCTCTCCAAGGCCAGGCTGCTGCTCCAGGAAGAATTCCAGGTTTTCTGAGCTGTCCAACCATTCCCAAGCAGAGAAATGAGGCAGAACTTCCCCTGACAGTGCAGAATTCCCAAATTATCCTTCCCTGAATCCCAAGGACGACCCAGTCAGCCGGAAAAATTCCCATTTTATTCCAGAAAACAAAAATAAAACATCCAAGGCCAAAAAATCGGGATAAACAGCAAGAATTCCTGGATCTGCTTTGTTTGTTCCAGGTTTTTTTCCTGGAAAAGCAAAAGCTCCGTGAGGAGTTTATTCCTGGAAATAATTGGATAATGGAATTATCCTGAATAATTCGATTCCGGCTCAGCCAGGCTGGAGCAAACAGAGGAGGAAGAAAAAGCTGGAGAGGAAAATAATTCTGACAGCTGAAAAAATTCCCAAAAAACCGCCAAAAATATGGAAAAATAAAGGGGAAAAAGCAACAAAATATTTGGGGCAAAAATCCCTTTAAATCTTGGATTAGATTGAGGAAAACTTTGCTGGCTGCCAGACCTTTGGATAAATTCCCAGGGCTGGAAGTTCTCCCAAAATTTGGGAAGAGAATTAGAAAATCCTGGGATGGACTCAAAATCCCAAAATCCCAGGATAAATTCCTAAATCCCAAAAAGTCCCTAAATCCCAGGATGAGCCCATGATCCCAAAAATCCTTCCCTGCTCCTGATCCCAGAGATCAGCAGACAATGGGATATCGAGGGATTTCTCTGGGAATTGGATCCAGGATCTGAGCCAATCCTGGGAGAATAAATTTGGAATAATCCTTTATTCCCACTTTGGGATAAAATTCCTGGAGGGATTGCTCAGGAATTCCACTTCCCAAAAAAATCAGGAATTTTTTTGGGCACTGGGTTCATTCCAGCTGTTTTCCAGCTGCTGTCCAAGATCTTCCCTAAAAATCCCCTGGAATATTTTGTAGGATTTCCATCCTTTAGGTTTAGGCTGAGTTTATCTTTCCGTTAAAAAATTCCACAATTTTTATCCCAGAATTTCCTGGTGGTTCCATTCTGCTTCCTCCTGAATCCAACATCCTGTGGTTCCATTAAAATTCATTGGAAAAGTGAATTTTTCCAGGAATTTTCTCATTCAGGCCTTCATTGACGGAGATCCCAATCCCAAAAATCCATTGGAAAAGCAGAGAAAGGAATTCCAGAGCGAACCAAGGAATGGCTGGAAAAAAGAAATTCCTTAAAAATCCCTCCAACATTTCCGAATCCTTGGGGTCTCACCAACCTCTCCACCATTTTCCATGCTCTCATCACCTCCTGCAGTATTTTTGGGAATTTTTCCGTCCTGATCCACCTTTTCCCGCTGGTTTTTCCCTGGTTTTGCCAGGCCACCACGGCGCCTCCCAAGAAGAAGCCGGACCCGGTGACGTCGGAGACCGTGGTGATCTGGGGGCTGCGCCTCTGGCAGGTGGTCGGGATCTTCGCCCTCTTCGTCCTCTCCATCAGTGAGTCCCCCTGGAATTCCCGGCAATTTTCCTCTGGAAAAGTCCTCAGGGAGAGCTGTGGAATCCTGGGAATGCGCGAGGAGGGATTCGGTGCTGGGAATCGCCAGGGGTTCGTCCTGGGAGCACCTGGAGATGTTCCAGGGATGGGGATCGGCTCCAGCACCACGTTCCTGCCAAAATCCGGGATGGAGCCGTGGGCTGTGGGGGCTGGGAATCATGGAATGCTCTAGTTTGGGAATCATGGAATGATTCGAGTTGGGAATCCTGGAATTCTTTGGGTTGGGAATCATGGAATGCTTCAGTTTGGGAATTATGTTATTCTTTGGGTTGGGAATTATGGAATGATTTGGGTTAGGAATAATGGAATGATTTGAGTTGGAAATCCTGGAATTCTTTGGGTTGGGATTAATGGAATGTGTAGGGTTGGGAATCCTGGAATTCTTTGGGTTGGGAACCAAGGAATGCTTTGGGTTAGGAATCGTGGAATTCTTTGGGTTGGGAATCCTGGAATGCTTCAGTTTGGGAATCCTGGGATGCTTTGGGTTAGGAATCATGGAATGTGTAGGGTTGGGAATCATGGAATGATTTGAGTTGGAAATCTTGGAATTCTTTGGGTTGGGAATCGTGGAATGCTTCAGTTTGGGAACCTTGGAATTATTTGGGTTGGGAATTATGAATGATTCAGTTGGGGAATTATGGAATGATTTGAGTTGGAAATCCTGGAATTCTTTGGGTTGGGAATCCTGGAGTGCTTCAGTTTGGGAATAATGGAATTATTTGGATTGGGAATTGTGGAATTCCTTGGGTAGGGATTCGTTGAATGATTCAGGTTGGGAATGATGGAATGCTTCAGTTTGGGAATTATGTTATTCTTTGGGTTGGGAATTATGGAATTATTTGGGTTAGGAATAATGGAATGATTTGAGTTGGAAATCCTGGAATTCTTTGGGTTGGGATTAATGGAATGTGTAGGGTTGGGAATCCTGGAATTCTTTGGGTTGGGAACCAAGGAATGCTTTGGGTTAGGAATCGTGGAATTCTTTGGGTTGGGAATCCTGGAGTGCTTCAGTTTGGGAATCCTGGGATGCTTTGGGTTAGGAATCATGGAATGTGTAGGGTTGGGAATCATGGAATGATTTGAGTTGGAAATCTTGGAATTCTTTGGGTTGGGAATCATGGAATGTGTAGGGTTGGGAATCATGAAATGATTTGAGTTGGAAATCCTGGAATTCTTTGGGTTGGGAATCATGGAATGCTTCAGTTTGGGAATTATGTTATTCTTTGGGTTGGGAATTATGGAATGATTTGGGTTAGGAATAATGGAATGATTTGAGTTGGAAATCCTGGAATTCTTTGGGTTGGGATTAATGGAATGTGTAGGGTTGGGAATCCTGGAATTCTTTGGGTTGGGAATCCTGGGATGCTTCAGTTTGGGAATCCTGGGATGCTTTGGGCTAGGAATCATGGAATGTGTAGGGTTGGGAATCATGGAACGATTTGAGTTGGAAATCTTGGAATTCTTTGGGTTGGGAATCGTGGAATGCTTCCGTTTGGGAATCTTGGAATTATTTGGGTTGGGAATTATGAATGATTCAGTTGGGGAATTATGGAATGATTTGAGTTGGAAATCCTGGAATTCTTTGTGTTGGGAAGCCTGGAATGCTTCAGTTTGGGAATAATGGAATTATTTGGGTTGGGAATTGTGGAATTCCTTGGGTTGGGAATCATGGAATGCTTTGGTTTGGGAATTGTGGAATTCCTTGGGTTGGGAATCCTGGAATTCTTTGGGTTGGGAATCGTGGAATTATTTGGGTTGGGAATCCTGGAATGATTTTGGTTGGGAATCGTGGAATGTGTTGGGTTGGGAATCGTGGAATGTGTTGGGTTGGGATTCATGGAAAGATTCAGGTTGGGAATCATGGAATTCTGTGGGTTGGGAATAATGGAATGCGTTGGGTTGGGATTCATGGATTCCCTTCAGGTGTCCGGGAATTTGGGATTTCCTCTGGGCTGGAATTCCCCACTGAGTGTGGGAATTCCAGAGGGAAGTCCCAGCTCTAAACTGGAGATTTCCACCTGGAATCATTTTCCAAGATAATTCCATCCCTGGGACTGATCCCGGAGCTTCCTGGATTCCTTTCAGGTGTCCGGGAATTTGGAAATTCAAGGAGGATTCCTGTGGAATGGATTTGAGAATTCCTGAGGGATTTCCCAGCTCCAAACTGGAGATTCCCGTCTGGAATCTCTCCCCAAGAAAATTCCATCCCTAGAAGTGATCCCAAAATTTCCTGGATTCCTTTCAGGTTTCCAGGAATTCAGGAATTCAAGGGGGATTCCTGTGGGATAGAATTGAGAATTCCTGAGGGATTTCCCAGCTCCAAACTGGAGATTCCCACCTGGAATTCCTTCCCTGAGAGTGATCCCAGAATTTCCTGGATTCCCTCCAGGTGTCTGGAATTTGGGAATGCTGGAATTCCAGCTGGGAATAGGAATTCTGGAGGGATTTCCCATTGGGAATGCAGAGCAGGAATGGCCCAAGCTCCACCTCCATCCCTGCTGGGAATGGGATTTGGGATGGAGAAAATCCGTGGAAAACAGGGAATTGGGAAATGGAGTGAAATGGAAAAACGGGGAATTAAAAATAAATATAAAAATAGGGAATTAAAAATAGGAATAAGTATCAAAGTATGAAATTAAAAAGAAAATAAATAGAAAATCAGAAAAATTTAAAACATAATTATATATAAAAATAAATTAATTAACTTATTAATAAATTTTAAATCAATATATTATATTGCATTACAGTGAATGAAATATGAAAATAGGATATTAAACAATAGAAATAAATAGAAAAGTAAAAAATGAAATTAGACATAAAATAGGAAATTAAACAATAGAAATAAATAGAAAAATGTAACATTTTAAAGCAGAATTCACATAGAACTATAAAATTCAAAATAGAATTAAATATAAAATATAAAGTTAAAAATGGAAATAATTGTAAAACCAAACCTAAAACAAGAATTAAATATAAATCTAAATAAAAGAGAAATACAGGAATTATGCTTTAAAGGTAATTGGATTGATAATATAATTCTAATTATTATTACTTTATTATTTATTTATTACTCTAATTAATATTACTTTATTAATGACCTATTAATTTGGAATAACAATTTTCATTATAAAGTATTATAGTTAATAAAATTATATAAATGAAATAACCTATTTCTATGTTATAAATAATAATAAGTTGATTGTAATTATAGTTGTCATTAACAGCTTTATTTTCACTGTTATTACAATAAATAGGGAAATAAAATGAACTAATTTAAATTGTATTTACGGAATAATATATTAATATTAAACACATGTTTTATGTTATGAATAACAATTTCTAGAACATTCTAACTATATGATAATATAATTAATATTAGTTATTAAATAATAATAATATATTTTATTAATTGTTTTAATAATATTAACACTAGCTTAATTAATATCCAATAAATATGTTTATATTGACCTTAATATTAACATTAATAAAATTAAACTAAATACACCCAAAAAATCCAGAAATCTGATCCGAGTGTGGATTCCACCTCCCAGCACATCCCACAAGGTGGCACCATCCCATAAAAAAATGCGGGAAATTCCAAATTCCAGGTTTCCCATTCCCAGTCACTCCCCCGGATTCCCGTGTTTCCTGTTCCCATTCCCAGTATCCAACCCAAATCCTCATTCCCCGGTCCCAGGAGCTCCCCCAGAATTCCACATTTCCCATTCCCAATAACTCCCCCAGAATTCCACATTTCCCACTGCCATTCCCAGTTAAATCCTCCTTTCTCCCTCTCCATTCCCAGTAAATCCCTCAGGTTCCCGTGTTTCCCATTCCCAATAACTCCCCCAGAATTCCACATTTCCCATTCCCAATAACTCCCCCAGAATTCCACATTTCCCTCCGCTATTCCCAATAACTCCCCCAGAATTCCATGTTTCCCATTCCAAAGAACTCACACAGAATTCCATGTTTCCCACTCTCATTCCCAGTTGAATCCTCATTTCTCCCTGACCATTCCCAGCAAATCCCTCAGATTCCCGTGTTTCCCATTCCCAGTAACTCACTCAGAATTCCACATTTCCCTCTCCTTTTCCCAATAACTCCCCCAGAATTCCACATTTCCCACTGCCATTCCCAGTTAAATCCTCCTTTCTCCCTGTCCATTCCCAGCAAATCCCTCAGATTCCCGTGTTTCCCATTCCCAGTAACTCACTGAGAATTCCACATTTCCCATTCCCAATAACTCACCCAGAATTCCATGTTTCCCCCTCCCATTCTCAGTTAAATCCTCCTTTCTCCCTCTCCATTCCCAGAAAAATCACCCAGAATTCCGTATTTCCCACTACCATTCCCAGTTATCCCCAGAATTCCTTGTTTCCCACTCCCATTCCCAGAGAAAAATGCAAATCCTTGATCCCCTCTCCCATTTCTAGAACCTCCCCCAGAATTCCTCATTTCCCTCTCCCATTCCAAATTACTCCCTCAGAATTCCACATTTCTCTCTCCCATTCCCAGTGAAATCCTCGTTTCTCTCTGTCCATTCCCAATAACTCATTTCCCTCTCATTTCCAGACTCTCATTTTCCGCTCCCATTCCCAGGAACTCACCCAGAATTCCTCTTTTCCCATTCCCAATAACTCACTGAGAATTCCACGTTTCCCATTCCCAATAACTCACCCAGAATTCCATGTTTCCCCCTCCCATTCTCAGTTAAATCCTCATTTCTCCCTCTCCACTCCCAGAAACTCACCCAGAATTCCTCTTTTCCCATTGCCATTCCCAGTTATCCCCAGAATTCCTCGTTTCCCACTCCCATTCCCAGCGACCAACACAAATCCTTGATCCCCCTCTCCCCAGACTCAGAATTCTGCATCTCCCATTCTGAATAACTCCCCCAGAATTCCACATTTCCCACCCCCCGTAACTCCCCCAGATTCCC